ATGGATGGATGGATGGATGGATGGATGGATGGATGGATGGATGGATGGATGGATGATAGACAGTATTGATGGAAGTATGACTGGATGGATGGATGGGGTGGATGAACAGGTGGAAATACATGTATGTAAACCAGATTGATCAAAATTAAGTTAAAACTGTTAATTTTTTTAATGTACTAACTGTATGTAACGTGGGGAGTGGTGGTGAAAAGATTAGAAAAGCATGGATGTGATTGAAACAATTCTGGATTGAATCCCTTGAACAAAACATCAAAATGTGCGTAGAAAAGATGAATCACCCACACCTGTCTCCACCCTCATTTGCCCCACTTTGGGCAGCAAGGTCCTTACCACCACCACCACCACCAATCTGCTGCCCTGGAAACCCTAGATGGCAGCTCTCTGCTCCACACAGAGAGCTGTGGTAGCTCAGTGATCTGTGGTTGTGTCAGGAAATGCATTGGTGTAAAAACAATTGACAAGTCTTTGTGCTAGTTTGCTCGCTGTGGAAACCTCTGAAGACAGGAGCAACCAAAAGTTGAAAATAAATAAATAAATAAAATAAAATAAAATAAAATGGTGGTCAAGTTTGAATAATGTATATGTTAACTATTTAATATCTGTATTTTTTTTAAAGAGTCTTCTTTATGACATGGGCAGTGGCCGAAGGTGGGGACCTTGGCACTCTGACCCTGACTTACCAAAACTGGCTCTTGGGACATGGAATGTGACCTCTCTGGTGGGGAAGGAGCCTGAGCTTGGGCACAAGTTTGAGAGGTACCAACTAGATACAGTTGGGCTCACCTCGATGCACAGCATGGGCTCTGGAACCGATCTCCTTGAGAGGGGCTGGACCTTATTCCACCCTGGAGTTGTCCATGGTAAGAGGCGTGGAGCTGGTGTGTGTCTATTTGTAGCGCCCCGACTTGGTGCCTGTGTGTTGGAGTTTTCCCCGGTAGATGAGAGGGTGGCTTCCCTTTGCCTTCGGGTGTGGGGACGGGCTCTGACTGTTGTTTGTGCCTATTTGCCAAACTGCAGTTCAGAGTATCCGACCTTCTTGGAGTCTTTGGCAGGGGTGCTGGTAGGTGCGCCAGTTGGTGACTCCTTTATTCTGCTGGGGGACTTCAATGCCCATGTGGGTAATGACAGTGTGACATGGAGGGGCATGATTGGGAGGACCAGCCTCTCTGATCTGAACCCAAGCAGTGTTCAGTTCAGAGTTCAAGTATCTCAGGGTTTTGTTCATGATTGAGGGAAGAATGGAGCGTGAGATTGACAGAAGTATTGGTGCAGCGTGTGCAGTATTGCAGACTCTCTACTGGTCCGTTATGGTGAAGAGAGAGCTGAGCTGTAAGGCAAAGCTCTCTGTTTACCATTCGATTTACATTCCTACCCTCACCTATGGCCACGAGCTCTGAGTAGTGACCAAAAGAATGAGATCATGGATACAGGTGGCTGAAATGAGTTTCCTCTGCAGAGTAGCTGGACTCTCCCTCAGAGATAGGGTGAGAAGTTCTGTTATCAAGAGAGACTCAGAGTAGAACCACTGTTCCTCCACACCGAGAGGAGCAAGTTGAGGTGGATCGAGCATCTGGTAAGGATGCCCCCTGGATGCCTCCGTAGGGAGGTGCTTCGGGCATGTCCAACTGGGAGGAGACCACGAGGAAGACCAGGATTCGCTGGAGAGACTATGTCTCTCGGTTGGCCTGGGAACACCTTGGAATCCTCCCAGAAGAGCTGGAAAAGGCTGTGGAGAGAGATGTCTGGACCTCCCTGCTCAAGATGCTGCTCCCGCGAGCTGATTTTGGAATAAGCAGAAGATAATGGTTGAATGGATGGATGGATGGATGGTTGGATGGTTGGTTGGATGGTTGGTTGGATGGATGGATGGATGGATGGTTGGAGTCTTGTTTATTGTTTTATTATAATATTCTTTAAATATTTCTGAATGTTTGGCACTAGCAAGAAATCACTAAAGTCCACACATGTGCACGTGCATGCACACACGCACACACGCACACACACACACACACAGATAATATTTAAGAACACACACCTCTATTTTACATCCATAATTGGTTGAAATATTATTTTTTTTCATGAATAAATGTACTCTCATAGCAAATTTGACCGAAGAATAAATAATGACAAAAATAAAATAAGTGAGAAGAAGACTGAAGTTAAGATGTTTGGACCGAGCTGCCGTCCCTCTCCCAGCGTAGATCTTGGCTCACTGTCATTTTATCTCAGGGACTGTGTCACCAACCTGGGGGTGAAGTTTGAGTCTGATCTTAAATTTGAAAAACAGGTCAGCAGTGTTGTTCAGGAAAGTTTCATCAACTTCACCAAATAGCAAAAGTGAAACCAATCTTAGCAAGACCTGGCTTGTAGAAATGAATCCACACTTTTATCACAGCTCCTCTTGATCCTGTAATGCGCTGTATGCAGACATTAGACCTCTCCTGCCCGTCTGCAGCTTGTGCAGAACTCTGCTGCTCACCTGTTAACTCAGGCCCGTAGGTGCGAGCATGTTACTCCCGTCCTGGCGTCCCTTCATTGGCTCCCTGTGCACCACAGAATTCATTTTAAACTTTTGCTGTTTGTTTTTAAATGCTTGAACAACCTTACCCCACAACATCTGTCTGAGCTGCTTCAGCCTTACTGCCCACCCCGATCCCAACGATCAGCTGATCAGCTGCTGCTGACAGTCCCTAAAGGCTGAAGCTCAGAGGAGACGGAGAGTTTGCTGTTGTTGCTCCCAGGTTGTGGAACAACTTACCCTTGAGTGTCAGACAGACCTCCTCTCTTCCTGTTTTTAAATCTCTTTTACAAACACACTTTTATTCTTTGGCTTTTAACACGTGATCTAATCTTTTATGGCATCTTAACACACACCTGCCATGAAACTGGTACGTGTATGTTTTTATTGTCTTAATCTACATATATGTTTTGTCTTATTGTACAGCACTGTGGCTCCCCATGCAGTTTTTAAAATGTGCTTTAGAAATAAAGTTGATTGATTGATTGATTGATGTATAATTTAATTTTGAAGTCGGTTCACTTGAACCTGAACATTGTGTTGTTGCTCAGGATGAATGGATGTTGCATGATGGATATAACACTATTAATTCCAAGATGGTTGTACTTTTCAAAAAAATTAATATGTAATCTGCACAAATATTTTAAATGTATTACAATTGTAATTAAAATCCTATGTGTGTGTGTGTGTGTGTGTGTGTGCACAGAAATTAGTTTACAGAAAAATACAAAATATACCCAAATATAAATAATGTGAACAACATTCAACAGTACTGGTTTCCATTCAGACCTTTTATTTTCCATCACTTGTCGCGGTGAATAAACCGACGTTTTAGGCACGTCTGCCGTGAATAAATCAAACCTTTCACACACACACACCATCTCTGAGCTCTAAACAGCTGTTCTGAACTGGACAACTAAATTTATAATATATTGAATTACATCAAATGTTAATTTCATCAAGACATTATTATAATTTAAAAATATTTAAAAAATATATTACCTATTTGTTTGAATTGCCAAGATTAAAAAAAGAAAAATGTATTGTATCTGATTTAGTTATTTTTATTCTAATTTGATCACAAGTGAATTAGCCACCCATGCATTATTTTATTTATTAATTGTTGTGCCTGCTTCTGCCTGTTTCACTCAACGGCCAGGACATGACTTTAAAACTCTTTTTTTAAATGACTAAAACAGTTTTAATATACTGTTCTTTGTTGACACAAGTACAGCTAAAATTGCTTTAACCAATAAAAATACAACTAAAATGACTGAATATAATAAAGATAGCACGTTAGTATGAGTACTGTTTATATCCACTGTACTGACCCTACAAACACACACCTGTATTTTTTACACCTACATTTATATTTTTAATAAATAGTGTTTTTAGTTGCCATATAAAAGTGTTTACTATGTGCTCAGTGTTTCATGAGTCATTTTTATGTTAGCTTTTACAGCAGCCAAAATCCCCTCTGCTCACACACACAAATGCGAACATTGTTCTGTGTGGGCGCGCGTGAGAGTGTAAAGGTTCAGTTGAGTGCGCGGTGAATTGGGGGTCGATGTCAGCTGAGGAATGCAGACAGAGGAGAGTGGTCCTCCTCTCTCCACAGCTACACCTTCACTGTGAACGCACAAAGCTGAAATCCTGCTCTCCTCACAGCCCCGCCCCACCTTTTCTCCACTCAGCCAATCACGTTCAGCCGAGCTCTCAGCCCCACCCCTCTTTTTTCCTCTAGTCAGCCAATCATATGCTCCTCTTCGCTCCTTGTTCTGGTAGCTCCGCCCCTCTGCTTCGCCAAGCAGAGCTTTGGAACCGTAGAGGTAAAGAGCTACAGGGCGCGAGGTAGAGGAGGCGCACGCACACGCAGCAGCTGTGGTCAGAAGCGCGCGAGGACATAGGACTCACATACGGACACGCGCGTGCAAAATAGAAGAGAAGACCTTTGCTCTAGGTGACTGAGAGGAGAAAAGACGAGTAGAGGAGAAGAAACCAGAGGCGCGTTCTGGTTTTTCAGGCCGGAAAAGTGCGAGGAGACACGGACACGAGTGGAACTGAGAGGCGCATCTGCGGAGAACCGAGGCGGCTGCTTTCATCTGCGGAGAACCGAGGCGGCTGCTTTCATCTGCGGAGCACCGAGGCGGCTGCTTTGATCCCCTCAGAAAAAACAACAACAAAAAGAAAGAAACAAGGAGGAAAGACAGGAGCTGTGCGTGTTTCTGCGCGAGTCCGTGCTCGTCTGAGAGGATCTATGAGCTGCTGCAGAGCCGCTGGAAACTGGAGGACTCACACGCACAACAAGGTACTGCTCTGTTCACGGTGCGTGCGCGTGCGCGTGTGTGAAGACTGCTGGAAATCCGTGCTGTGGGTTTGGTCTCCAGTCAATTGACTGTCATTGTGTGAATTCACTGAGTGAATGGGTAAAACAAACAAAGCACGTGTGTGTGCGTGCGTGCGCGCGCGCCATGCTTCAAGCATGCCAGACTGAGGGCCTCATAGTTTTTATGGTCAGAAAGTAGTGAAACAAATGGAGACTGGGAAAAAACCAGAGAGAGGCTTTTCTTCTACAGCGCACGGTTTGAAGGGCTGACTTTCACATGTATACTAATATATTTATATACTAATATATACTAATATATTTATATACTAATATATACTAATATATTTATATAC